ACTGTTCTTTGAACTTACTGATGCCTGTTATAAGAATGCAATACATTTCATAGTTATTACACGAAAGTAATTTCCACTTTTTATGAACAATTTTATTTTATTAAATGATGTGTGGGTATCAAATTTAACACACTAACTTTTTATGACCAGTAAAATAAATTATTATTTGTAAGATTTAAGGAGATCCGTCGTGTATTTCAACGGATTAAATAATATACGCTAAATATATTTTAACTATCACACATTTACACTATTTTAAAGAAATAATTTACTAGACATGGATTTTAAAATTTAAATCGGTTTTTATTCTTTGTATTTTACATTAATTTAAACAATCCAAAAACAATATATTCTTACTATAACAAAACAATTTATAAAACTTTTAACTAAAATAAAAATTAATATTTTTAAGTTGGCTTTATTATTAAAATACTATAAACTTAAATTATAAATATTACTTGAGAATTTTGTCATATAAAAATCTTTTTTCTTAGTTGACATGTAATGAACATTTTTCTGACAATTTGTATTGCTGTTTTTCAAATTAAATCTATGATTGATTAATAGTGAATATGGGGAGATGGGAAATTTATATTTCCTATTGATGATTCCAATCTATATAGCATGTGTTACGTATGTCTTTCATAAAGTTGACATCAAAATATCATTATTTATTTATAGTTTCATTATAATTAAACTTCGGTCAAATAACTATAGTACTCTATTTACGATGACATTACTTAAATCTATAGGGTACCCAATATTTATACGTAGACGTAGTGAAATACGCAAGGGTAGAGTTCTAGATTTTTAACCACCCCCCCAAATGGTTTAGTATATAATAAGGGCGAAGATACTCACTGTTTTACTATCAAACTTTAGTGAAAACCCTATCCAAAATAAAATTCTACGTAAGCTACTGCGTAGACACATCTGCATATTTTTCGATCTAAGTATATACACTAACTATAGAAGTTTAATAATAAGTAGTTTTCAAAGAAATATTAAAAGATGATTAACTATTAGGTAATTTACTTGCTTATTTAGGTAAGAGTTAGAAACTTAATAAATTCATTATTTCTAAATCCAAAATATATTTGTCTTTTTAAAGTTTTTTTTTTAGAAATTTTCTAAAATAGTCGAATGAACACAATTTTTTTATATTTGTTACATATTGATGTTTAATTTCTAAAACCACTCTGTATAAATTATAGTCTTATTTTAACTAAAACATTTCTATGATTATTAAAAAATATGTGATTTCGATGAAGATTGTGTTTTTGGTAAAATATGCTATTGTGATTTACTTTGTATAATGAAAGTTAGCGATTTATTGACCTTAAGGCTCAGTTATTTTTTCAAAAGGTTTACTAACAAAAAATTGCTAGTTTTTAAACCATTCCATTTGATCCATCAACAAATTAAATAATTGAATTTCAATTATTAAAAAATGTATTTATTATTTATATTTAATTTTATCAACATTCAATACGGGAAAATGAAATCGAATATAATAATAAATAAAATTAAATATTATTAAAGTCATTTATAAAAATCAGTATTTATTTTACTTAACTTTAAAAAATATAATTTATTTTTAATTTATATATAGTATGTATTTATTTATTAAAAATAAATAACGTATATATATTTTTTTAAATAAATATGAAATTTAAAAAACTACATTAATTTCATTATTGGATGTTAAAAAGAAATATCAAGTAATTTAAGTGTCTCCGTCGCCTCAATGATGTTAAAAATTATCAAGTAATTTATTAGAATGTTTTAGAATAAATGAGTTAGTCAGTTCTACAATGTGATTTATCTTCTGAATTACAAAAACAATTGAATAATATAAGACTTTATTTTATTATTTGTCGTTAAACATATCATTAAATAATGCTGATCATATCCACGTGCAATACCATTTATAAAATAACAAAATATAGTCACAATAAATAGATCAATTAATGCTAAAAAATAATTAATTGATAAATATAATCAAACGTGAAGACTAGATAGGATACATTTACAAATGTTTTTGGTTAAGTATGAATTACGAATTTAATGACATTTATTATAAGATGATTAAAATAAATTCCCATATTCTAAAATTTATTTTATAATCTTCAAATATTTTAGAACAAAATTGTGTATACAAAACTTTTCATCTTAAATTATGTTTTAGAACTAAAAACTACTAAATATTTCGGTTGCTTAGTGTCTTTTGCATAAAGTAAAAATCAACACGGACGAGAACATGAAAGTATTTACCGCTAAACGTTTTCAACTACAAAGTATGGCTTTGTGATGAATGTCGTTTCAAACAAGTTTTAACTACTAGTAAATATAACAACAATAACATACTTATGATAGAACATTAAACAATACTTAAACTTCAAACTTCTGGAAATTAGTTCATTTTACATAGGAATAAATTATTTTTAAACGAATTACGAATACCGAGTAATTAGTCACCAAAGCAATATCGATTTTATAATATAAACTTGATGACATTTATTTTACTTTTAAAATTTCCCCAATTAAAAAAAAATATTATTACAACCGTGTAATAGTGTGAATGCTAGAGCAAAACTTTATATATTTATTACAATATATATAATATACATAAAATATATATTATATTAGAAATTAATATTAAAAAAAACAACTTATATATTAAACTTTTAATAATCATGTAAAATGTTAAATAATCTTGATTTATTAGTTTTCTAAAGGTTTTTAAAAATGATAAAAATATATGGACTGGCTAAGTAACTAAATAAGGAACTAACCCTGATTTAAAATATTACATATGATCCTCATGTGATATAAAGTAACTAAAAGTGATATTCTTCCTCATTATTTCGTTGTTTTAAAAGAAACACTTGTAAAAAGCAATGAACAAATAAAAATCAACTTCAAGCCTTCTAAATCTTACCCATTTGGGTTTTTACAGCCTCAAATCTCCCCTCTACCAAGTTAATTTTAACTTGAAAATTACAAATCTTGATTATTTGTATAACAAGCGTTTAAAATGCTTAAAATTAAAGTAAAAGTAACTTAAGTAGTCTCAAGTGGAATAAAATATTCCGTTTTCAAAGTTAACTATTCTTGTTTCTAAAATCCATGTGAAATTGAGTGAACATTATAAAATACTTTTCTTAATACAAGTAGAAAGGAATATAATAAAACTATTTTAATATTTTTGTACATTATTCAAAGAAAAACATTACCTAAATTGTAATAGTCGACATCAAAAAACTCATTAATTTTTCATATTACTGTGTTTTTTTTAGAATCAATTTGTCCATTGCGAACATTCGTAGCTTTTCTGTACTCTTTTAAGTGTTATTGTAATTTGTTGAACGTCTTTTTTTTAATTAAAATCTCATTATTACGTTATGTGTTGCATTAAATAAATTTAAAAGGATATAACGATAAAAAAGTCTTTTCCATTCATTAATCGTTACTGACATTATATAGAAAATTTTAATACATATTATTTTCACTTCGTAACATTTTATTTGTTTTTTCACGATTTTAACTAAAATTATTTAACATTATTATAAGTAACGCCTAAATCCAAAATGTTAGTACCATAAACTTGTTAAGATATTTGTTATAAAAAAATATACAGCCACTCTTTAAACGTTTTAAAACTTTAATAATTAAGATAAAATTGATGGCGTATTTACTTCACCAATTATCGTATATTTTATTAATTAACTAACAAATCATCATCATCTCCTTAGACTCTATCCCAACTATTTGGGATTGGCTCTACCTTACGATTTCTCAGGTTTTTAAACTGTCTGATAAAACCTGATGACTACAAAAACCAGTATAGAAGCAAGATATGTGTCACTGTTAAAGTTCCCGAATGGATGATCCTCATTAAATCATTATTATCAACATTATTTATTAATACCGTTTTTTTTTATTTGAACTAATTACTATCGACAACACCTAAAAACGAAATAAATTATTTTTTTCAGATTGTCGTGTTTAATTCACGGGTAATCGTATTTGAAGGCACTTCAATTATTATTTTTTTGAATATTTACTTTGACTTGCAGTCGAAAAAACAGTAATCGTTTTCCAAGTAAAACTTAATTATGAAAAATATTTACTGAGGGAACAAAAATAAATGTAACAATTATTCACGCTTGGTACATTTAGTAATATTTATGTGTATTAACATATATATACGATTATGAAGGAAATTATATAATAAAGATTTAAGTTAATTATTTCTAGAACGTTATTTAATCAGAAATTGAACTAATTTTCTGCATAGTGTTGTGTGCTAAAATTAATTAACTATATCTATAGATATGTTACAGGAAATTTGATCCAACTTGAAAACTTCTATGGTTTTTATATTATTATCTCTATTTCCTACTGAAGGGAAATAATAAAAAATTTGTGAGATATAGCAGCGGATACAAATACTTCTATATTTTCGCATTAAATAGGTGTCTTTCACATTATATATTAGCATGTAGCCTCTAATGTAAAGAAAACACAACTTAAAGGTATTCAAAACATCCCCGCACACTTATAGTGATGCTATCTTGTCAAAAATAGCTTATCCATAGTAATGTTTACTTGTGGACTAGTTGAAGACTTAAAATTCATTGGCGATACTATACTACAGTGTGGTTTATAATTTAAATCCAATTATAAACTTTAGCTTATCAAAAATCTAAGTCCGCGATGGTACAACGACTACAAAAACGACGTGACGTAGGTGTTTGGACCTAGCTCTGATTTAAAACGTGTGTACACGCAGGAGGAGAAATCAGTGGTCTCCGATTGGCCGGTTAGCGTTAGTTTTCCCCATAGACGATAAGCATCCCCCCTATATGGTGATCTCCCCGCGGTACCCTCGACCTGCCCACTTCCCTTCCGCCGACCGACTGTCAATCCGCCCGGCCACCCCCCCATCGAACCTGGTTGTTTCGGCGCGCGGACTATAAACGAGCGCCACAAGTTAATTCGCACTCCACAAGTATTACGGTCGTTGCAGAAACTGCAGCCGGCTCATAAGTTCTTTTCAGATCGTTCTAGTCGGATACTGTCGGTAAGTAACTCAAAGTAATACTGACTAACAACTGTTGATAATTTAACATCCACTTATAATTTCTTGTAAGTAATTAATTTTTGACGTAATGAATATTTTTTTTGGAGTGAAATCAAAGTTTAATTCCGTTGGATGTAGTTACCCTGGTTTTCCTTAATATCACTTACATGATCATTCACCACGTTTTAGCTACCGTGTTTGCTTTTCAAACATTATCTTGTTTGTCGTTTTTTTAGCCAAGTGCACGTGTAACACTCATTCATATATGAATCACTGGAGAGAGGCGAATGAACCGATCTTCAGTGATTTATTTTGGTTCGATTACACACGTGATAATAAACGGATAAAGTTTTGTTTGCTTTTCGAATCGAAAGACTAGTGATTTTAAGACACGTTTTACGGTTAAAATTTCACACTTATCTTGCATTCAATCTTAATATTGACAATTTACGTTTTTATCAGTAATACATAACTGGGTATCGACGTGATAAATTCTCATTTAATGATGAAGTTGCAACGCTAAGAGCGGTCAATTAACTCAAAAAGATTACAAAATCACGAAGAGACCTTTGATAATATGTTTAACATTGCTGTATACTGTTATAATTATTGTTACATGCCGTTAATCGAATCCGATAACGTGACCACAGCAACAATGTTGTGATTTATCATAAACGGTAGAATTAACGTTGCTCATGGCCTACGGATATCCATTAAATATCGCACTGAGTTCTATTATTTTTCATTAAAGTGACAACACCAAGTCAAACAAATACGGACTACACTCGTAAATATAAACACTGTATAGTGTATTTTATATTTTATCGTAATTAATATTAATGAAATACATTTTCGAGTCATTACAATATTACTGTTTTGAAATCCAAGTTCTGACCATACCTTCCAGTGACTGTTTTTCCACGCCAACACAACGATAAAAGTGGACGTAGAAAGTAGATTAAACAACTAAAAGACTAGAAATTTCATTTTTTTTAAATACTTAACTTAATATTGTGTTTGCATGATTTTGATTTACTCAATATTGAACATTTAGATGGGAACATATTAGTCTTCCTTGTTTTACTCTACAAAAAAACTTATTTTTCACAGTTTTCAATTAAACAGAATGTTTTTAAATAAACTTTATATTTTATAATTACCTAATTACTTTCATTTAAATTTAATTTAGAATCAAATTATTAATTTCTGAGGAATGCATAATTAACCTTTTTTAACTGAAACAAAAGACTAAACTTAAGTTAATTAGTCATAGTATCATCATTAAAAATATTCTGAATTTACATAGTGTTGACATCGGAATGAAAACCCTCCTAAGTTCTTTATTCCCTTTCACTTTAATGATCTGGTTAACGTGTCTAACCGTTAATGTTGGTACATTATCCATTGAAAGTTACAGAAATAAATTGAACTCATCAATGGAGTGATATGTGCTTACCTATTTTATATGTAATGGTTTTAATATGTCACTGATAATATATATATATGAAACTACTGGGATATGTGTAACACATAGACGCAAAGAACAAAAAGTAAATTGTAGTAATAGTTATAAATTTACTTTAATTGTATTGCTGTAATATTCTGGTTAAAGACTTTGAAACTTAAGTATTTAGTGTAGTTTTTTTAAACAAGACATGAGTACTTTGAATCTAAAACTGATTGGTCCTTTACTTAAAAGCTGTTATAAATTTACACCTTGAAATTAATCATCCTGCAGAAGTACTTTTCTTTGTACATAGATGACTGGTTAAAATACTTGTTACTTTAAATTAAACATCAAAAATTAATATTTATCAATCTATTCTCAATGATGAATTAACGCAACAGGTGCATAATTTGATATGGTCACGTTGATTACTTTACAATGTCTCACAACAGGACGAGAACATGTAAAATATCACGTGTCTTAATTAATGACACAAAATAGAAACTATTTTCAGCATAAAAAATTGTTAAAAAATAATTAAAATTACAAATTTAACTAAAAGCTCTTTAAGTAAAAATATGAAAATATTTACACGGAATTGAATTGGTGTAAGAATGACTTCATTCTTTTTGTACAAAAAGAAACAATACAAAAAATAAATTGTACAATCTTTTAATCAAATATTATTTTTTTAATTTATTGTTCGGTCTTTTTTCTATCTATCATATGTAAAGTATTAGTGTTTCGCGCTTAACCATTTTTGTTAGCAAATTTTAGAAAATAATCATTTTTTTTCCATCGATAAAACATTTGGTCATTATCTTTTATTATCGTTCTTATAAATATTAAATATTCGTATCATATTTAAAAACCACTACACACAGTGGATCATTTTATTTATACGCACTCAAAAGTTCATATAAGCTTCTTTATGCACTTTTATCATAAGGAAAATTTTATCAAGTGCATGTTACATATTTCTAGACATCAATTAATATTTACATTTTATCGAAAATTCTTTGAAAAGAAAACTATATAAAGGAAAATGTATACTGATCAGTAAACAACATAAGCCGCAAATATTTTGTAACACGTCATATATTTCACATTAAAAAAAATGAAATCCGTAATGAGCGTCGAGTTTTTTTCCAATCCGATAGTTAATGTAAATCGTTATACGTTCTATAGTATTCAAAATAATTTTGCTACTGGAGCAAAGGCAGGAAAAAGGGAGGCAAAAGAAGGAAATATACTTATTGGACATTTATCGAAAGTATACTGGGTAAATAGATCAAAGAATGAACAACGGCACAAATATATTTTAAAATATAATCCTTCATTTTAGTTATGGCATGTATATGAGGACATTTATGAAAATTTGAACTGTATTTCATACGAATACTCGACTTAGTACGGTACTCACAAAAAATAATACCACAATGAATGCTTTGGTCTTTTTATCGTAACGCCACCATCAGAGCGTTTGTATTTTTGAAATTTTATAAAGCATAAAAGAAAAATCGCATTACATCTTGGTATCCAGTGTATACCTAATCGGAGTGTAGCAAAAATGAGGATTTTTTCGGGATAAGGCATCTTACAATCAAACGAGTGACACTAAACAACGTATAATGATGACATTGTGTCAAGATATTGGCTGTTACTCATGAATTTCCACTTTTTGGTAAAATTTTATACAATGAATATCTGGAAGACTCAAAATACAGTAAATAACTAAACCGAAAACATCGTTCAGGACGCTTAATATCTTTGAGTGATGCCTGTGAATTTTTTATCATTTCTCATCACTGGAACAGTTATATTCGTATGATACCAAAGTAAGATAATACACAAATTACGCAGATAAGCAAACAACAAATACGTGCCGTAGAAACAGTGCCCGCCGGGATAAAAAAGAAACAGTTCATTATAGATAAATATGTTTTGGCAAAAAGAAAAAACATCGACAGACTTTATACAGTTTCGTTGTTAGACTAAATGTTACTTGTAAAATATACTACGGAAAACACTATTAAAAATTATACGTACAACATTTTTAATAAAATATCTTGATTCATACGTGCACCTTTTTACATATTATAGTCAACTTATAAAGTAATGTGATGGCCTAAAACTTTGGGTACAACAAATAAGGAAAAATATTTTTACATTACACATTTATTTACTTAAAAACAAAGTCTACTTTTTTGTGTGCATGGCCGAGAAAATTTAATTCAACAGTGGAAATTATGGTAAATAGGTTTGGGCTCTGGTAACCGCATCGGATAATAGAATTAATTTTTGAAAAACCATAACCGTCGAGATACATGTTTTATTTAACACTCCCTAGAACGTAGCACTTTCTATTTGAATAAGTTAAATTATTATTTTTATTTTATTTCCTTAACCTCTACGAGAACTTGAAGGTATATCATAATAAAGAAATGTTAATTTTACCTCACCTAAAATATCCACTTCAAATTGCTCCAGTTTCTTGTGCGAAAACTTATTTTTTACAAATAATAAGAAATAGAATAAAGTCAAGTTTTCGACAATATGTAAGTCGATCTATTTGTAAATCCATCATATCCTATTAACAATCTCTAAAGGATAAGGTGGTTTATGTTTATTAAATATATACAATACACTAATTTAAAATTTATTGAATCGGATTTTCGATTGGTTTCCATACGCATAAATCGTTAACTAAAGTTTTAAGATACCTAGGTCAATATTTATGATTTATATCATTGAATTGAATCTATATTCAAAAACTTTACATAACATATACCTATTACTGTAAAGGCTTGACATACTTGTACATATAACTGCCGTAATAAATAATTTCACGTGTTCTAAGTAATGCAACTGACATGATTCAATGTTTAAATTTATCTTTTTCTTAAAATTTAAAATTAAAATATTTTTTATATTGATGTCAAGTCATACTTCTTTTAAAAATCAACCATTACAAGACAGTTAAAGAAAATTTGCTTGTTATAACAAACAAAGGAAAAAATAGATTTTCTATAAAATAAAAATATTTAACTTTTGAATAATTAAGTAAAAAAATAATATTTCATTCATTAATAAGTAAATATTAATCTCTAAAATAATTAAAAGGTAGTACAAATAATAAACATTAGTATTACTACGTTTATTTCAATTGAAAAAAATTGTATTATAAAATATTAGAAATATTGATGATGTGTGAAGATTTCAAGATAATTTTAACAATACAAAGCAACTTTTTATTTCATCGTTCTAAAATTGTTTATTTTTTTACATAACTTTTGATGCGAAAATACAACAAATTATTTAAAAAATGTTCAAACAATTTTTGTTAGACGCTCTGATTAGACAAAGATTTAGATAATTTAACTGTTTTAAATTTGTTTTATATTTCACTTCTTACATTAATATAAGCGCATTTTGGTAGTTTATGATTATATAATATTATTTTAAACAACTAAGCATCATTTGTTGATTATTCGACAGAGTACTTAGTTTTCTAGGAAGTAAATCTTCGACTATATAGATAAAACACATTTTA